GCAAGGGCCACCGTCAGCATCTCGAGCCCCTGCTCGAACTCTGAATCTTCCAACATGCACCTCCGCTTGCCTTGGACAAACCTGCACGGGAAACAACCCTGCGCAAATGTCCAAATGACCCTGTCATGCCCTTTCCCGAAAACACAAGAAACATCTTCCGTTCACCTCGATGCCTTGACAAGCCTGCATTAAAAAAAAATCCCGCAAACCTCCACATGACCCTCTCAAAACGTTGCCCGAAAACACAAAAAATGCATCAAACATCCACCAAAACGCAGCGTTGCAAGTGAACCTGACGGGAAAACCCCAAACCCTAAAACCGTGAACCCTATAATCCCCTAAACCTTAAAACTCTTGAATTCAACCTTGAAACCCTAAACCCTAGAACCCTGAACCCTTGATCCCTTAATCCCTCAAAAAGTGACCCCTAAAGCCCTTAATCCCCTAACCCCGACCCCTGAACCCCTATAATCTCTTAGACCCTTCAAATTGCGATCCCTTAATTCCTTAAACCCTTAAACCCCAAACCCTACATTCCCTAAAACCCTTCAAATTCTCCCACGAAATGAGCCATTGTCTAAACTCCTAGTATCCCCCTTAATAACCCCTATAGTAGTCCCTGATATAATCCCCTATATAATCCCCCTTTAAGGAGTTTAGACTATAGCTCAAATGTAGCCTCAGCCGCAACTCCAGGTGGTGCAGTTTCTCCTGCTGGGCCTCATGTGAACTACGGACTGAAGTTAGGTTTAGGGTTTAGGGTTTAGTTAGGTCGGGGGGGACCTACAGGGCAAGATGTGCACTACAGACTGAAGTTAGGTTGGGGGGACCTATAGGGGAATATATGTCAAAATTCTGGGTTTTTTTGGGTACACCAAATATTAGGTGCCGTACTATAATAGGATCCAAAAAGGAACCATAATTTTGACAACCACCCATATAGGTTGGAGCGGGGGATCTATTAAAGGGATAGACTAGGACTAGGACTTTAGTCCAGGACTCATGCGAACTCTCGTCTAAACTGCAGGCCGGTGATAAGCTATAATTTAATTTAGAGTGTAAACTCCTGAAAAGGGGTGGTTATATGTGGGATTACCTAGGGGGCCGTTATAGGGCTATAGGGCTAGTGAAGGGGGATACTAGGGGCTTAGACTATAGCTCATGTTGTGGTATGAATGTTGTGAAGGTTGTGTGTTGCAGATATAAAGCTCAGAGCTCCACATATAGAGTTGCAACGATGCTCCTGGTCCGCGGTCCTGCATTTCTGATTTGATAAGGCGTCCAGTGCCAGCTGCCCAAATACTTCTAAATTCTAGACCTCCTTCTCCAGGAGACAGCCGGCAACCTTCCAACGAAGAGCCCCGCCTGTTCTTGTGTGAAAGAGGTCTTGGGTACATCTGCTCTGACTGCAACATCTACTGTAAGGGTGGTACCAGGATGCGCGTCTCCCATCGACCTCTCAGCAACATGCAGCCTATAATCACCTCCGGCACCCGTCACACATGTCATCACTATCTCAGCACAGGGACGGAGCCCCGCCACCTGTTGTCCATACACGCATGCTGCTGGCCATGCCACGCCATAAGTGCAAGTTCACCTCCCGGCTAAGTTGATGCCACGTAAGCTGGAGATGTTTCTGCGCTTGCTGGTTCTGTGTCCACTCGATCAACCTCCCTTGTTATTCCATGGCAGCTATGGTCATATTTGCCTTACCCGAAATACAGATTAAAGAGCTACATCATGCAGCTGGAAGCACACGAGCCAAAGCAAACTGGGATGAATGCCTAGGTTGAGCCCGCAACATTCTACCACACGTCACTTGCAAAACAGCAGGCTGCACAGGTACACCTGTCGCTGCTTGCAAACTCCCACGCACGAAGTTCCAATCAACCTGGACGTGTCAAATACTTTTATCGAGGGGCTGCGCTGCCCTGATCCACTGGATGTAACAAACTGCAAGCTTTCAAACATCAAAGAAGGCAGGCGAGCCCTTCCAACAGCTGCTGCCATGCCTTCGGCATGGTAGCATGGAGGTTCAAACGGCGCTCAAGTTAAAAGGCCACAAAAGCCAAAGCCCCAGAAGATAATGTACAGCAGCAGCACCGAGCCGGAAACCGAGCATGATAAGCTCATCAACTTCATCTGGTTGACACGCACAACACTGATTCCAATCGGCTATTAAGGCGGAGTGTTGCTGCAAGAACTGCAGAGTTTGTCTCAACTCTGTCTAAAACCCAAGCCACAAAGCTTCAACAACATGCACACCAAGCTGTGCTGGGTTCAAACTACATCATGCAACTCGCTTGTGCGAGTGTCTGTGCACTGAATGGATGTTGATCGCTTACATACGCCAAGTTGCTCAAACCAATCTATGACTACCTTGACTGGATCACGACATAATAAATCATTTTACAGAAGCAGGTGCTTCCGCATGAGTTCATACAATCCACGGAATCCCTAACCCTAAACCCTAATGATCAAAGACTGCAGTAGCGGTCTCCTGTGGAGAATCGCTTCCTGCGAAAGCTGCACTTCAGACTTGGTCAAGTGGATCCTCGGGCTGCACGGTCAGGGTGTATATTGGGATAATGGAAAAGAAAATGGAAACTACTATGGGGTTTAGGGTATATATTGGGGGTATATTGGGATAATGGAAAAGAAAATGGAAACTACTATGGGGTTTGGGGTATTATTGGGGGTATATTGGGATAATGGAAAAGCAAATGGAAACTACTATTTTCTATACGGGATATATTGGGTTTAGGGTACAAAACTTGCATTCATTTAGCAAGCGAAGGCCATGGAGCCTTGCGCTACCAAATTCAATCCCACATCCTCTGACCAAAATCCAGCTCGATCGATTACGGTCGGGATCCTTTCCTGAAATTAACAATCGAAATACTGCTGTGAGCTGAAGCCAGCAACCCCCCGCTCCAAGGAACTAATGCCAACGAAAGGACAAGCATTATGGCTTGGGTGGCACCTCACCCACAATAGCCAGCACAAGGGATGTACATATAATTGCAATTAGATCCGGAGCTCTTCCATATTTCTATTTTACAACTACTACTAGCAAGGTGCCTGACCTAGTCTAATTCTTCTCACTTTCTGAATCCGCAAAGGCCGACATGCTTCGCAGCCCCGTAGACCCTAAACCTTAAATTGCGAGAGGATTTTTGCCGCCCGGGTTTGGTTGAGGGCTTTCGGAAAGATAGCCCCAAAGATGGAAAAGAGCATCGAAGACCTAAGGGATACTGGGCGATATGGGAGCTTACAGGGAGCAATCCCAGGCCCTGGAATACGGACCGTATCGGATTCATATGATAAATTCATGGAGTCCTAATTTCGGGGGGGGGGGCTATGGTATCCAAAATCCTCTATGACTTATTCTGGCCTGCATGCCTTTGGCCGCAGCAAACCCCAAGCAGCCGCGTTCATCAGTCTCTGCTCAAAATAATCCCCTCCCCCTACTAGGGTTTAGGGTTTAGGCTTCACCAATTATGATGGTACTCTACTGGGGCTATGGCCCTACACTTTAATCAAACCTTAACCTAGCCCCAAAACTATGTATTACTAGAGCATGTGGGGTTATTAGAGGGGACGTTTGCCATCAGGAGATCCATTTCACTCCTACAAATTCAAAGCCTTATACCGACCCAAGCCTCAGCTCTCAGCTTTAAGGGTTTAGGATTTGGGTTTAAACAAGCTACACTATAGGCTTGGAACGCTGTACAGTTTACTTAGGGTGTAGGACTTAGCGTCTGTGTAAGGTGTGAGGAAACGGAAACAGAAGCCAATATGCTATCCAGCACGCCATTCTGAACCCTTTTGCGTCTGCTCTCTACAACCCTCAACCCTTAATCCTCAGATATCCCTATGCGCCCCCAGCTTCCATGTCCCATCGATATTCTTGCTACGCATGCACACAGCTGTGGACGTGTCTGCGCTGAATTAGAGGATCAAGCTTGTCCATACCAAGAGCTATGCAGTAGTCAGCTCTTGCTGCATTACCATACTCAGCGCAATCCGCGCTCAAGCTGAGGAAGGTGGCGGAAGCTCGAAGCTAAAACCATTCTCACCATCATTGCTCATGATGCTTTCCAGACCTGTGTAATTCTCAGTTTGGTTGTACCTTTGAGTCGCCATTATTGGGAGCCTAAAACAATACAGTAGTTTCCATTTGCCTCCAACCCCTTCATACTCCTATGTCGTTCCTTGTGGGCACATATCGCTGCCCAAAAGGATCAAACTTCAACTCCTACACTGTCCGACTCTTAAGGTCAGGGCCCTGTGAGACACGGCGCAGTGGGCGAAAGCCTTCCTCTTTGAGGAGTTGCACAGTACCTCACGGCTTGGCTCAGTGGTGCTTAGGGGAGTAGATATTGGTACCATTACAGGGGTATATGATATGGGGGTTTCCCAAAATTAGGGGTACCTTTCTGGGGATCCTTATAACAAGGATTATAGTATATTGGGGTCTATATTGGGGTCTCCCTAATCATGGAAACTACCATATATGTGGGATTAGATGGCGATTATTATGGGGGTCCACTCCGCCAGCCTCCCCTGAGCTCCAGTATAGTGAAGGAGGACCCAAAGTTCTCAGTCTTAGAAAACCCTCTGCTACGTGATACCATCATATTTGGGGGTTTGAGCACTCTGGTCTCTTGTAGTGGAGTTCTGTTGAGGCTCTATGGGGCTTGGGGTCCTACTGTGGATGCGGGCAACATGTATGGGAACCCTTTCTTGGGTGCTCTAGTGTGGATGGAGGCAGTAAAGTGGGAATCTGAAGTGGTGCAGAATATGGGAATTTCCCAAAATTCAGGGTACCTTTTTGGAGGTCCCCATAATAAGGATTATAATATGTCAGGGTCTATATTGGGGTCCCCTTATTTTGGGGAACTACCATGTCTTCCATCCACCATACGTCTTCGGGACTGTACTATTCCCAGAAAGCCCCTTGGCTCTTGGAGGGCTCCCCTCCCCCATCTCCCTCCGCAAACTTCATGATGCCGTCATCTCATGGGGGGCCAGTGAATATATGGTAGTTCACCACAAAATACTACAGTAGAATCCTTATTATGGGGATCCCAAAAAAAGGTACCTCCAATTTTCTGAAACTCCATATATCATTGGGGAGGAGACAAGTACGGGCACAGGATTCCCAGTTTAAAGGGAGGCCTCGGCAGGGGTGCCGCAGGGCCTGTTCAAGAATGACTGTCTAGGACCTCGAAAAAGCTGAAGAAGGGAACTTCAGGTTGCTGGTTCCCAGAGAAGAAAGATTCCCTATATTTCTCACGGGAAACCAGTAAGTCAAACATAATCCTGAACAGCTCCTTTCCTGTCTCTTTTGAAGACCCATGTCATCCCAAACTTGGATGTACTTCTTGCTACAAGTTGCAATTGACCATAGCTGAGGTGTGTCTCCAAGCAAAGGGTTTTGTGCGTCTGTCTATTCACAGAAGCGTTAACATGTTGCCGAGCGACGGACTTCAGGAACACATGTCTGCTATTATTACTTTGTTATTACTACTAGTACTATTATTACTACTGTTACTGTTATTAGAACTATCCTTACCACCACTATTTTAACCATAATTACTATCATTATATGGCCCAGCCTCGAAAAGGGTCTTTCTTGGCATCACATTTTGCATCAGCAAGCTGGTTTGCGAAGCCCTCGTCATCATAGTCCACGTAAGCGTGGCCTCGCATTTTTGTACAACACCCCCGACTCTCCACCAAAAAGTGCCCTCATTGAGGTGGAAGTGGCGTGCATGCATGATCATGCATGCATGATCATGCATGCATGCATGTAAGCATGTACCTATGTGTGTATGTTTGCATGCATGCTAACATGCATATATGAATCACTATATGGTCCTACAAGAAAGGTGACCATGACTACAATTGGAGACACCCCCATTAGCTCCGCCCAGGCCTAGTGCTCGCTGGGTGATGGGATGCACCTGAGCCATGCCACTGACAACATACGGGACTTCGAAAGTTAGAAGTACCTCTTTAGAGGTCTGTGTCAATAGGCGCATGCGAAGATGCAGATGTTTCATAGCAAGAGTAGTTTGACTCAGCCCAACGGATACTTTAGAATAAATAGGAGAAGTACAGAGTTCCAAAGGTCGTGATTCAAGAGTATCCAGAGATTATCATGCTGTTGTTTCATGAGGAAGTTGAATAGGTGGGGTATGGAGGGGTTTGTCTCCGCAAGCAGCCAGCAGGTTGAGCAAGAATTCTCTACAAACCTTGTATTCGCGTATCTAGCTCACAACACCATTAAAGCTTCACGTACTGTACCGCTTCGGCTTTCCCGACGCGAGCTTTGGGTTTCGTCGCCGGCCTTCGTGCTTTACGACAAGTCCTGCTGTGCCAGTGGAAATGCAGAATATCTGGCTACAGTAAGCCATCCTCCAGGTCGGTGTTCGAGAAAAACATGCTTCAGCATCGCAGGGGTGTGGATCTGCAAAACGAAGCATGCAGTGGCCGAAGAGGGCCTCTCTACATCTGTGGGGTAGCCGCGGCCTTCAAAGGGACTTGAATAGGTTTTGATCCTACACGTGAGTCGAAACACAACATTCAAGCCCTGGCCATCTGACCAGATTGCAACTTCCTCACCGCGGAAGAGATGGTGTAGCCGTAGCCAATTTACCTACGATATCTGCAGAAGTAATTGCCCAAAGAGAGGTAACAAACAGGTGTACTCACCTGAGCTACTCTGAGCTTAGCACTGCCACTTCAATCGCGCTGGGCTGCGGCGCGCGCCGCAGACTCACCAGAGTGAGGATTGCATCCTGCAATAAAAACAGAAAGAGTTAACAAGGCGCTACATTCTGGTCCAGGGCTCTGGAGTCGGGTCTGATGCACCCTGAGATTGCCACCACTTGGCGGTGCGTCTTTCATCTGAAAGAAAGACAGCTGAGGCAAAACTAAGTCCTCCAAAATGTCCGGCCTGAGCCAGAGGAAGTCATGAGCGCACCTCAAGCCCTGCCACTTCCTGCCAGGCCCTGCTACAAACACCGGGCCGTGGGCGGAACATTTGACGGCAAGTGCTCCAGGCGAACTCGTCCGCCTAGGGCAACGAGCTCAGCAGTGCGCTGCCTAGTGTCCCTCCAAAAAAAGCGTGCGAGCGAGTCTCTTACGCAACACCCGAGACTTTTTCTTCGAGAAGCACAAGCTACATCGGCGAGCAGACGTCGCTTCTGGCGCCTGCGGGTGAGCATTGAGCCGGCAACTGTAGCAACAACAGCGTCAATGTCTAAGCCCAAGCCGCAACCACGCGCGTGCAAGGACACCATTGACCACTGTCCTCTGTACATCACGCATTACACTTCCGGGAGCACCCAAGCTGATCTAAGCTGCGCCACCCTGCCCCACTGGGCCTAGCTTCCAACTATGCCTGCTGCGGCTGCTGTCAAAGCCTCGCTGCGCCTCCACAGACTTTCCTCACGCATCTCATGCCTGGAAGCCTCAGCTGCGCTTTGAGCTCTCCGCTCTTCTCGGCTGTGGCGTCTTCTGGGAGTGATGAAAAGCTCTGCAGTGCCAGGAGTGCTACTTCGAGCTCTGGTGGCATGAGGCCTTTGGGGCCCAGAAGGAAAAGGTATCGTTTCGCCTCCCTTGCCGGGAGGTGGTCTGCCAGCTCGGCTGGCTACGCTGCTCTGAGCAGCTATGGGGACTGGTGCGATCTCCACCGACTCTTCCAGCAGTGCGCACAGGTCGTCGCGCAGATCTGCAGGTAGCCCATCAGCGGTGCCCAAAGCTTTCCGAAACGCAGCCGCTTTGTCCTTGTCAAGTTGCTCCGTCAGTCGGAAGTTTGGCGAGGCTCCGCCTGTTGAGCTGCTGCGCTCACTTGCAGGGAGGGGAGAAGCATGTAGTGGTTGAGATGGAGAAGCCTGCATGTCCTGCTCCATTGTGTGCCGCTGCCTGGGATTGGATGCTCTGAGTTCGTGACTGCGCTGACCAATTGTGCGCATTTCCCGATCTTGTGAAACTTCGTTGGGTGAGACTAGGGCCTCAGAAACGTTTGACACATGAGGCAACTCAGACTGCTTACGATTCCCTTGTAGTACAGCCAAGCCAGCATCGATCGCGACAAATCGAGAGTCTGAGGCCATTGAATGCTCCCAAACTCCAGGAGCATCCTCTTTTTCGACTCCCGTGCCCGATGCTTTCCCCGGCGCACAAGGCACGGGAGGGACGGTAGACTCCTTGAAGGAGTTCTCAGCCTCGATTTCTTGTGAAGCCTTTCCGCCCTTGCCCTGCAGCTGCTCCAGCAAGCACTGCTGCAACTCCTGGCTCTGACATGCATACACACAAAATCCCCCAAACATGCTTGCAGGATAAAGACTAGCCGCTAGAAACCAGGCTCTGCAAGATTGCAAGCAACCGAACAGCTGTCCTGCAGATGCCTCGCTCGATCGTTGATGGCGTCCTCCTTCACCTGGGATAGATGAAGGGGCCGGGCGAGAAACACGTATTTCGGCTTTATATGGTATTATAGGGTAATGCAGGGATTCTGGTCCATTATCATCTTATGAAAATCATTCCCAGAAATCTCTCGGTCACCTTGAGGGCGTGTTCCCTGGCTTCGTCTCGTTGGTTCCGCAGCTCCACCACCTGCCGCTGCATCTCGCTTGCCAAGAGCCGCTGTTGCTCGACGAAACCCTGCAGGGGTAGTCTGGTTTCCAGTAAGCTGGGGTCTTTGCAGGTTGGTGCCTAAAAATGGGCCTATGGGTCGATAATGTGGATCAGGGTTCAGCGACTGTCCTGAAAGCCGAGCTCTGAATCTCGTCCATCTCGCATGGGCTTCCTGCGCGGTGGAGGAGAGCAAGTGCCAACCCAGGTGCCTGCTGTGTCTGCTGGGCCCGCAACCGTGGAGGGCACGGGCGACTGAATCTCCCGACTGGGCGAGGCCTCACACTCTCGCGCGTCCCGCGGGTCTCGAGGGTCTCGGGTTCGAGGCCTTCTTGACCGCCCGTGGCGTGTTTCTCGGAGCCGATCTCGCGTTTTGCGAAGTCGGCTCGACTGGGACTCACGCCAAGGCTCGTCGCGGAACCTTTCCCGCGTTCTTGTGGAACGGCCTGTGGCTGCAATCGCATCTTGCTCACGCGCCTCATCCTCCCGCACACGAGGTGCCTTCTTCGCTTCAAGCCTTTCGGCCTTCCGAAGCTCTCGTTGATTTTCCTCCTCAATCTCTCGGCGGAGGCGCTGCTCCTCACGATCTTCCTCCTCTTTCTGACGCAGTCGAGCCTCCTCCTTGCGCTGACGCGCTTCTTCTACCTGGGCTGCTAGGACGCGTTGGAGCTCTTGCTGCTGACGCCGGCGCTCAACTTCACGCTGCTCAGGCTCCTGGCGCATGTCGTGCTTCGGGCCCAGCTTCGGCCCAGACCTGCTTGTCTCCCAGCGATCTGCTGGCTCCTCTGCGCGAGCATCGGCCTTCTCCATCTTGTTCATCTGCTTCCGGGCCCTCTGCTCCTTTATCTGCTCAGCGAGTGCCTGCTGCATCTCCTGTTGCTGACGTCTTCGCTTCTCCTTCTCATTGGTCATCTCGCCTGGGAATGCAAGGCCGAAGGTTTGAGGCGGCGGGTTGTTTGCTGACTTTTGTCCACGCTGACTCTGCTGTGGCTGGTGAGCAGGGAAGGAAGCTGGCTGTTGAAGAGGTAACTGCAAATTGGCTGCTGGCAAGTCTGCTGCATGTTTTTGGCAAAGCTGCTGGTTTTGCAGCTGTAGCTCCTGCCAGGCTGGCAGGAAGTTCACAGGCGCCTTGCGGGAGCTTGCAGGTGCCCACGGCACAGAACCCGGAAACGGCACAGCGGCCCCCGCAAGGTCTGCGAGGTTCTGCTGCCGCGGAGGAGCTTCTGCCGCCCACGGTGATGGTGCTGCGAAATTCATGAGGGATCTAGAGATTATACAATTATAAAATATTATTCGGATTTTTAGGGGAATACCCCAATGATAGAGAATCTACTTACACCTTCTGCTGCTGGATACCTAATAACTTAAACACTGTAATTAGCACAACTGCGGAGGTGCACTGTGGGATTCGATTTTCTTGTGTGAGGCTTCAAGTTGAGCATCTCGGACCAGAGCTACATGGTCCTTGGTCCAAAGCAACGGCGCCAATACTACATTTGGCAGCCTTCAAGACAAAGGACTCAGCAGCGAGCTTACCTTATGCAATAACCCCAACGTAGGAGACCTTTTGCATCTGAAATTTCAGTCTGAAATACAGGATCCCTACTTTTATTTCAGGAACCCCGATCCCCCTAAACACACTTTTGAACCAGGTCTCTCTGCCCGGTACAGACCCCTCAAGCCGACATATGCTAAACCCTAAACCCTAAACCCTAGGAACCCCCAGATTCTACAGCAGAGCTTCTGTGGTATCCAGAGTCGCCTCGTCTCGATGGCTCCAGTGTTCGCGCAGGATGCTGCGAAGGCCTCAGACTTGACATAACCGTTTAGGGTTAAAGTGTTGGGTTAGTAGGGAATAAGGGAATATAGTATATGGGGATTATGTACGAATTATATTCCCCTTATTCCCTGCCAAGCACCAATAAGATAAGGAAATAGAAGAGAACTTGGAAACCAACATATGTATGCACATATACTTATACATATATATGTGTGTATGTATATATGCGCATTCTATACATATCTACATGCGTATGCGCTTCACACAGTTTTCACGGTACCGACGGTGACAGGGGTTTAGGGGTCAAATGGGTGGAGGAGTATAAGCACAATGCAGTTATCCTACAGGGATGGGAACCCTAAACCATACACCTACATGAGCTGTAGTCAAAATTCCTAGTATCCCCCTTAATAACCCCTACAGTGCTCCCCTATATAACTCCTTTGAAGGAGTTTAGACTACAGTTCACACGGTCCAGGTAGGCGGCACATCACAGTAACAACCCCTCCCTGCTTGCTGATTGTTAATAAGTAGCCATGGGACCATAGACCCCTAGAGTAGTCACAAAATGAGCCAGACTACACTCCTAGCATTCCCCTTAGACACCCCTATAATGCTCCCCTGTATAACCCCCCTTACCGAGTTTAGAGCATGGCTCAAATAGTCCAAAACTCCCATCGATTCCACTACCCATTCCATTCCCTGAAACCTATACCTTGAGCCCGCAATGCTCATTTTCCGTTGTTTTTCCCGTTCCCTAAACCCTAAATCCATTAGGATTTCACTAAGTCTAAATCCTAAGTAAACCCTCAATCCTGAACCCTAGGATAGCAGTTTCCATAATGTCTTCCATTCCTGCACTCACTTGGGAAACCTCAGCCACCAAACCGTTGCATCAGTCAGGTAGCAAGGATTGCAGAAGACAATCTATCATGGCGATCTCGAGACGCCAGCACGACACACGAACATGCAAGGAAGAAGCCCAACTGTGACAACGCCTATCATGGTTCGTACCAACACGGGTAGTCCTTCCGCCCTTGCTAGCAACAGTGAACACTCTGCCAACACGCCACGAGAAGAGTACCCTGAATTGTTGAGAGACGTTTCGAATAAAATCAAAACCCCTATAATCCTTGTAGTTTCCATTGTATTTTCCATTATCCCAATATAACCCCAATATAACTCCTATAATCCCTGTAGTTAGTTGTAAGCACTACCTGAGGCTCCTGCTCTTCTGCTTTGCCCTTTTCCTTTGGAGCCTCTGCTGCAGGAAACACTCGGGAGGTTCCACAAACTGGGATCTTCGGAGGTCCAACTCCAGAAAGTCTACTCCCCAATGACCAGGCCCCAAAAAACTCAAACTTTATGATAGTGACCAAATAAGGAAGACCAACAAGTTTAAAGTTCTATTGGCTAAGTGAGATAACAACGGCTCTCAAAACTGAATCTACAAGTTGAGGAACTCACATGTCCAGCAGACTAGATAGACTATGGAATCATCATACTAAGCTTCCCCCATTCCCCCATAGTCTATCTATCCTAAACCCAAACCCTAATTCAATCTACTTAGGGGTGGCTATACGTCTTCCAGTGCCTTCAAGGCAGGTAGACTCTGCGACTGGCCGAGCTTTTTGCTGACCTGGCATCAAGAAAACTGCATGGGGCTATCTAGGGATTATATAATAACATAGGGATTATGTCCAGTGATATATAGGGATCATACGGTAACATTTGGACTGTAAAGCTATATGAGCTTTGGCTTTTATTCCTATATACTTCCACTACAGAAACTACCCCTTCCGCGATCCTTCCGCGAGTAGCG